AAGGAAATTAAAAAAAAAATAATCAGGAAGTTTTTAACACTGTTTGTCATGGGAGCCATTACCAAAATGATACTCCGTGGAAATACAGTGGAATCAAAACTGCTTTTTCAAGAGAAATTGAGTGAGAGGGGATGTTTTCAGCCCAGAAGTGCCCGGTGGTAGCCGCTAGCAGAGCAAGGGGGTCTGCCCTCCTGGGACAGGCGTGCTGTCCCGCAGGCAAGACCTCGCTGGGACCGGGGCCAGGCACGGGGTGGCAAGGGGTCTGGAGACGAGTGTGGGGCTGCAGAGCCCTCACTCATCCCACAGTCTCCTCTGCTCCCTCAGGGAGACGGGGGTTATACCCAGGTTGCAGGCTCATGTATTTTGGGCCAAATTTTGACCATGTCCGTATCAATATAATTTAAAAAAAAGAAGAGAATACAGAGGTATACATGCTGTTTTATCTGTCTGCTTCCCTTGGTCTTGGGGGAAGGAGGGGAGCCGCTTGCTAGTCAGACATTCACCCACTAGCAGAGGTCGGCAAACTTATCACAAATAGTGTGCAAACAGGGACTTCTGCCTTTCTGTAAGGCAAGATGCCGAGGGTCATCCCCTCGCCATGCTGCTCATTTAATTCAGCTTCTGTGCTGTTCCTGCCCGACCTGACCCCCTCAGTTCTGTCCCTAGATCGTCTCTGACTTGTGCTGGTGAGCACTATCAATTCATAATTGACATGACTGGTTAAGGCTGCTGTGGCTTCAGTTAAAAGCTCTTAGCAATGGGGCTTTTCTTTGCAGACAGTGGAACAGGCAGGACACCCATTTGCACATGCAATACCATCCAAACGCAGAGAAGTTCATGTGGCTGTGGACAGGAAAGAAAAGAATGAATTTTAAGCATTTCTTGGTTTCTAAGTTCCCTGATCTATGCTGCTACAAGAGATGCAGTAGCCTTTCTTTCACACTGCACCCAAAACTCCACATCACCTTGCAAAGAAGGTTTTTTAGAAAAACCTGCTTCGCTTCAGCCACTTTCAAGCTTGTGATGATTTTCAATTTACTTCTCTAAACAGACTCTCTCTGCTTCATATGCTATGACCTCTTTCCAAACCCCTCTCTTTTCCCTTTCTGTGCACATATGTGAGAGTATTTATTCCTCTGGTGATATCAATTCTTTCTACAATTGAAATTTCACCCCAAATTCTGTTCTACTTGGTAAAACAGCTTTCCTGAAGCGTGAGCAAGCCAAGCTGAAGTAACCAGAGCTTTCACTACTGCATAGTCTTTCCAGATTAGATGATGTTTCAGTCACAGCTCTTTTCTTCAAAACACTATTAAAAGACTGTTCTGAGAAATGTAGAAAGAAATCTTTTCATTTCAGAGAGGACTTCTTTCCCTGTTTTAATTTTTTTTTTTTTTTTAAGCAGAGTAATCATTTTAATCATTTACTCTAATGAAACAAGACATTTCCTTCCTCCTGCAAAGGATCATGGAGAACCTGAGGCCCCTTTGTTTATGATATGTGACAAAATTAATAGCAAAGCAATTAAGGAATCACTCTTAACCTGAGTGACTTTAGCGGCTGTTGGTGGAATTACAGTCCTCTCAGGGCACTTGGTATCGTGGGGGCCTCCAAGAGCTATTCCTCTCTTCCAGACCAGCAACGCTAAAGATTTTTGTCCATGATCTATTACAGCTTTCTAGCAAATTGCCTTAATCACAGGGCATATTCTTCTTCCCACTCTAACGCGTGACTAATATCCCACTGACTTGACAAGAAAGCTAGAAAAGCCTAAAGATTACTGGGTAAATTAATTCAATACCACATGGTGCTAATTGTACACTGTCTTGTTGTACTCTGCAGCAGCTAGAAGTAGCGTTTGCTGTTGACATAGCCATAAGTCTGTGTTCATATTAGTAATTTACACTTATACAAAGCATATGAGGAAAATAGATAATAAAAATGATCCACAGATTTTTCAGATTACAGGAAATTCATGGCTGGCAGTAAAACCTGACTATTACTGCTGTCACTCAGAAGGCATTTTTTTGTACTTGACAAGGGAAACAGCTCAGTGTTAGTAACATAGGGTTCAGCCTCACACATCACGGATGTAACACGTAAATATTAATTCAGGGATGAAAGTACTCAGCTGAACAGGAACCATTTGGGAAAATGAAGAGGGTGGCTAAGAATGCATTAATTATAATGTACATAAATTGGAAATCCATGGACCTGCTTTGCACGAAGAGCCTGATTTTTATATTGATAATGACATTACACTTCTAACTCCTTGTTGGACATGTCCACTTTCTGACCCCTGTTTGCCCCAGCTGGAATAACAGGGTGACATTGTGGACTGATAGTGACAGTTCCACATCAGGCAAGCACTTGCATGGCTCTGGCTCCAAACCCATGGATCTGCTCCAGGCTGAAAAGTTGTTAAGAATAATAATGTTTATATGAATAATATAATGACTATTAAAAAAATATTTCTAAAGAAGCTGAGCATGAGATATTAGCATGGCAGCACACTGAATATGAAGTCACTGTTGCTTTCATTGGGGCTGGACTCTGGAAGGCGATTTGGGACAGAGTTTCAAATATCTAAGCACCTACCTCCCGACTCTTAGTATTTTCAAGGCAAACTGGGTACCAATATAACTTTAAAACCTTATTTCTAGTAGTCTCAATTCTTATCAAAATTAATATGAACTTCAATAATTTGTTCTTCCTGAGCAGGCGTGGTGTGAAAGGTAGATAAAGAAGGGGGGCTTTATATGATGCCAAATTCAATCCAGTGAAAGGTTTGCCTCCTATCTGTAGCTGGATCCAAGGATACATGAATGTGAGCACATATGCTCGCCATTTCATAGATGCATATGATATGATTGGGAATACTACCATGTTAGTATAGCTTGCAAGAGGAAGTACATCAAAGAGTTCCCTATTGCTGTCCAGATATACTAAACCTATGGAGAAGCACAGAAAGGAAATGCACTTTTATGTTGCTTAAACCACAGAGCCTATTCAACCATTAACACGTAAACTCTTTTTCATCCTGAATTGGTAAACAGCTGCATGATATTAATTGGGAAGGAACTCTGTCATACCAAAACCTGTTCTTGCACAGGAGACCTGGGTTTGATCCTGCCTTTGCCATAGAACTGCTGAATGGTTTTGGAGAAGCCATTTATTTTTTTTTTCCCCTCTGCAAAATGAAAATATATTTTTGTTTTCTCCTTTTGCTTCTGGCTTTTGTTTTTAAGCTGTAATCTCAGGGAAAGATGCTCTGTTGAGATAGAAATCTAAATGCAAGTGCCTCAATTTGGCTTTGTAGTGCAAGTGTAATTCAATTCATTAACGTAAGAAATATGAACCCAGTACGGATCATGCTCGGTATAAATATGTAATTCCAGGGACAACCTGTGGCCTATTTCTCTGCTGATCGCTATCCTGGCTCTGTTACACCGTGCATCTGCTTTTTCTTCCAGAGGAATGCATTCAGTGTTGCTCAGCCGATGGCAGTCATGCCCCTGCTCAGAAGCCTTTCCGCAGCTGTATCTTGACACAGACAGCTTCAGTCTCGGACTGACCAAAACCACAGGGCAGAAGAGAATCGCCCAAGCTCTGTGCATTTAAAATGCAGCCTCTAAAGCACAGTTAAACCCACGAGGTTTCTGAACTACTGGTGCGATTACGTGCGTTCACATCGGGTCTACAAGCTGCACAGGCTGTGCAGTGACATCCCCAGCGCATGCCGAAGGCATCGTCCCCCGCAGCACCCTACCTTGACCGCTCTCCTCACCCCACGATTTCACGGCCAGCGCTGCACCCACCACGAAGCCCCCCCGCTGCCGCTGCCCTGCGAGCGATGCTGGGCGCCGACCTCTGCTCCTGCCTGCCAGCTCCCAGCGGCCAGGGCACCCACGCCCGACGGCTGCTCCCCCGACTCCCACGGGAAACCTAGCGTTCGGAGGGAAAAAGGACGCTCTCTAGACCTGGGGAAACTGGAAGTGCCGGGGCTGCCCCGGCAGGGAGGGAGCGCGCCCCCCGCCCCGCAGCAGCGCCCGCCGGGCTGCGCAGCTGCTTGGTTTGATTTGGAAACGACGAGCAGCCGGGAAGGAGGAGGAGGAGGTGGGTCAGCCCGGTCCTGCCGCGTCCCACCGCCCCGCTCCCGGGAGGTGGCGGTGTTCCCCCGCGGAAGCCGCCCGCGCCGCTCCCAGGCGGGCGGAGGAGCCCCGTAATGTCGCTCTCGCCCGTTTTCCGCCGGTTTAGGGGCACGGGGTGTCTCCGGCGTGAGAGACACACTCGTGAGCGACCTGTAAAAGCCCGGGTGGGCTTGCGGGCGAGAAAGTTGCGAAATGCTGCAGCACAGCCGGGAAGCCGGGATTACGGATAGCGGCCGCCGTCCTGGCGTATTTATTATACACGGGTATACGCACGTATGTATACATACGTTTACAGAGGTATACGACTGTAAACATACATATCAAGACTTGAGGCTGAAGATCTACAGACCCGGGCAGAGAGAAGCGTTTAGCCGCGGTGCCGTCTACATTTCGCTCGTGCGTTTGGGAGAGGTGGGGGGGACAGACGCGTGGCTGCGTGCCGGGTGTCCGTGGGCGACCCCGCACCCGCTCACGGGCAGCGGCTCAAGCCCCTTTAAATCCTCCCTCCTCGGCGGGCAGGTGCGGGAGTCAGGCCTCGTTGGCCTGAGCAGCTCGCAGAGGTGCCGCGGCGCGGAGCGACCCCGGACCCGCAGCGGCTTCTGGCGGTCCGCCCAGCCCGGCCGCTCCTCACGGCCCCACCGCAAGTTTCTCTTCCCCGCTCGCCCGCTCCGGCTCTTTCTCAAAAGCCCCCCGCACCCCTCTGCGCGGCCCTTCGCCCCCTGCCGGAGAGGGACCGCAGCATCCCCCGCCGGGCCGCCGGCCCGCAGCCCGGTTCCCCGCGGCGGGACGTCCCGCCCCGACGGCAGCGGCCGGGGGCCGCGGGGCGGGGCAGGGCGGGGCAGCACTCACCTGACGATGACATACATGACCAAGAAGTTGCCGAAGAGCCCCACGACGCAGACCACGGAGTAGAGGGCCATGATGGCGATGGCCGTGACCACGGAGGGGCCGCCGCCCGCGGGGGCGCAGGGGCCGCCGCCCCCCGCGCTGCC